CGCGGGGGAGGGAGGGGGCGTGGCCCCAGGGGGGCGGGGCGGCGTGACGCGCGCGCCGCGGATCCCGGAAGCGGTGTCAGATGCTGGGGAGCCGGGCGGGCGGGCGCGGTGGCGGCGGGCGGCGGGGGGGATTTGTTGTTCTTCGTGAAGTCGGAGCCCGAGCGCCAGGCGGCGGCGGCCGAGGGGAGCGCGAGAGTGAGCGCCGGCGCGAGGACAGCGCGTGCCCGCGAGGAGCCGCCGCGCGCCCGCGCCCCCCGCGCGACGCCAGGTGAGGGGCGGTGGAGCAGCGGGGACCGGGCCGCGGCGGGGACGGGAACCGGGACGCGGGGCCGGGGCCACCTGGCCGCTGAGTCACGGCCGCCCGGGGGCGCGGGCCGAGGGTGGCGGGGTTGGGTGCGCGGGGCCCGAGACCCCCATGCGGCCCCCGACGCGGCCCGCGCACCTGCCCAGGTGGGCCCCGCCCCACAGGCCCAGGGGGCTTCCCCGGGACGAGGCTCTCTGCCCTGCACGTGCCGCCCGGGCCATGCTTGCTGAGCCGGGGGCCCCGGGGCGTGGACGCCAGACCTGGGGGCACGGGGGTCCACGCGGGTCGGCGGCGCGCATTGTGCCCGCGCCTTCACACCTGCGGGGGGCGGGGCGGACGCCACGTGCGGGCGGCGCGGGGAGGGCGCGGGCGCGTGGATTCCCCGTGCCTTCCGCCCCAGCGTGGCTTCCGCGTGCGGCCCCGGCCTGCCCCCCTTGCTTCCTCCCGGTGACAGGCGGCGCTGCGGCCCAATGGTGGGGCCCACGCGTGCCCGTGGACGGGGTGGGGGTAACCGAGTCTCCCCACAGGCAGGATCCTGGGACTGGTGTTGCTCTCAGCCGCCCACCTGCCAGGGTTGCTGGAAGGAAGGCCGTGGGGAGGCAGGAGGGGAGCAGGTGACAGGGGCCCCAAGGCACGTGTCCCTTTGCTCACATGTGGGACAGGGGCTCAGGCCTCCTACCGCTCCCACTGCGTGGGTTCTTCTGTGCCTCTGTCAAGTTCAGGAAACTGTGTTATGTGCCCGTGACTCTGTGTGTGTGTGTGTGTGTGTGTCTGTGTTTGCACAGCCTCAAGATCCTGGGGGGGGTGGGACGAGGCGCCGCGGAAAAACCCAGAAAGCCAGGACCCGGCCTGGCCTTGGCCCTTAACCTGGGTCCCCCTGGGGCACAGCAGTGGCCCTGTGCTGCATTCTCACCCTCACACCGTGTGTGTCCATGTCCGCGGGGCCTCCCATGTCCCTCTCCCCGTGTCCTGCATCCCTGAGCGTGCTATTTCTTGCTTCTTAGGCGGCTCTTGTAGCTGAGGCAGAAATCAGATCCACCATTCATTCACCAGGTGACCCACAGGCAGCCAGCCACTCTCTGGCTAGGTGCCTGGCCTTGGGAAGATCCTGGGACTCAAAACGCCCCCCACCGCGGGACACCGTGGGCATATCTCTGTGGTTTGGCTCCGGCACTGCCCTTCCCACCCCTCTGATTCTCCAGGGTGGGGTGCCAGGTCTCTGCTGGCACTGAGGTTTCCCTATCACAGTGTGTTATTGTAAGGGGGTCTCCAACACGGAGTGGGGTGCCCTGTGCAGCTTCTCGAAGCCCAGTGTCTTCAGGGATGTGGAGTATTGAAAGAGCTGTGGGCGGGGTCTGGAGAACACAGGTGGGCTGTGCAGGTGTCTGGGACACACCTACACCCTATTTGGGCGTCCAGTGCCATTTATGAGAACATCTCCCCTTCTTAGGTAACCCAGTAGGAATGTCTGAGTTTGACCTTGGGAGAGGGAGTCTGCTTTTTAAAACTAGACCTCTCATTATTCCAAAATAAGACATTTACTAAAGCAGAAAAACAAACCAGGCTTCTCCTGCCTTTTATCCTTGAGCTGAGCCAGGGCTTTGAGGGGCTGGTTCCCTGCAGCATTGATTCCCCAGGTGCTGGTAAACCCGGGAGCCAGCATTTACCAAGGGTTGGGGCTGTCGGGGCGCCAGCCTTTGTGTGCACCCGGGAGGCCGCTGTTAAGTGAGACCGTCTTCCGGGCCACTCCGCTGTCTACAAGGCGTGCGTTTTCACCCACGGGGCTCGGCGATGGCTGCATTTGTTTACAGTCTCCAGCGAAGCTGTTTGCCACCCAGACGGAGAAGAAGTTGTGCCTGTTCCTGTCCCAGCTGTTTCTGAGTCTAAAGGTTTCTGGAGTGGACTTTCTGGGTTTCGGGTCCAGTCCACACGGGAAATGGAAATCTGGCCAGCTGGGAGAAGGCTCCGTGTGGCTGCCTCTCAACAGTAAACAGTGACTCACCGCTCCGTCCCCACCCTCCCTGCTCTCCGCGAATGGAAGATACCTTTTCCCCGCTATTTATTTTTGCTTTTTATAAGTCACAGACTCCGTCATGTTTCCGCTTTCCTACAGTTTCAGGAAACTGGGAGTGTCGTCTTAAAATCATAGAGTTTGAGAGCAGGTACAAATGAACCTGAGCGGTCACACGCCCCGCCCCGACCGGCCGCTGTAGCTGAGGAAACCCAGGCCGTGACGTCTGCTGGCCTGTCCCGAGGGCCGGTGGGGTCTGGTGTAGAACCTGCCTGCCTCTCCGCACTGCGTGTCGGGCGTCCTGGGGAAAGTACTGGGGTGGAGACTGCCCTCTTGCTGCCCTCCTGTGCGGGGCCGGCTCATCTCGTACAGCGGGAGGCTCGTGTGGGGTGTAGGGAAGACATGCTCCCTGCTTGCGAGGAGCTCACCACACCACGGGGAGGGCCCCGTCCCCAGAAGGATCTAGAACCAGGCCTTGGTAGAGGGTGCTTGCCTACGCGAGGAGAGCAGTGGGGAGCGTTTCTGGAAGAAGCAGGGCTTGAGGGGGGCAGGGGGCCACGTGCTCTCTGTAGATGGGGGTGATCAGAAACCTGAAACGGCGTTGGGGTGAGGGGGTTGGGGTTTGGGAGGAACCCCAAGACTTTTGACTGCCTGTGGGGCTGCGTGGGGGGCACCAGGATCAGGGTGAGGGCATCCCTTTGGCAAAGCTGTGGTCCACACGGGAGAAGCTGGAGGCTGGAGCCTGGGCAGGTGCTGCGGGTTCGGGCGGGAGATGCTTGAGGGCTGGGATCAAGCCCTGTTGGAGCGTGGACGAGGAAAAGAGAGAGGGGTGGGGGCAACTCCAGTGAGTGATGCAGTTGGGGGCTGGGGGGCGTCCGGGCGCCCCGGAATGCCCCTGGTTGGACTTGGAGGCTGGGAGTGGATTGAAGCCCTAGGGTGGCCGGGGAGAACAGGACGCTGACGGGGAGCTGGAAGCCGAGGACAGGAGGATGGTGTGGTGGGAGCCCGGGCAGGGACTGGAGGAGGTGTGGTGCGTTCTGCAGTTTGCTCTCTGCTGCTGCAGCTGCCTGAGTCACCTCTGGATGTAGCGGAATGACACAGCTTCCTCAGACTGCAAAGGCAAGGTGACCAGACGTCCTCCAAGCCAGGCGGACAGTCGTGGCTTGCTGGAGGGCAGCCAGCCAGGGCCAGGCTGCCGGCTGGTGCGGGCCGGGCTGGGGGGTGCCAAGTGGGGTGCCTCCCGCATTTCCCGTGTCCAGGACAGCCGGACAGTGGGGGTCCTCATCCTCAGTAGGAAGGGTGTCTGGCTGGTCTCTGGGACCAGCCGGGCTGCAGTTAGTCGGTTGACACCTGTTTGACAGGTGCCCACTGGGTACCAGTGCCACAGTGGCCCCACCTACCCTTGTGACCCCCTGTGGAGGGTGCCTGGCTTGGGGTCTCTAGCAGAAAGGCTCCTGGGAGAGGAGGGTACACCCTGGGCAGCCTCTGGTTTTGTGGAGTGCACCTGTCGTGGGAGTCACTGGTGAGGGAGGGCGGGAGGGTGCTTACTGCTGTGCTCCTGGATTTCTAAACCCGAGTCTCACACAGAACTCCCGTCCTCCGTTCCTGGTCTTCCTCCCACCCCTCCTCCCTCTCCCGCATCCCACAGCCTCGGAGACCCGTGGAGAATAGAAGTGGAAGGGCCGCTGCGTCTCGGTCAGACCGGCTGGGTGGCCGCGGGGGTGGGGCGTGGGGTCTGCCTTGTCATTCACCCCTTGGGAGAGAACAAGTGACCCGTCCAGAGCCCCCATGCCGGCCTCGGAGAGCGAGCAGCGGCCCTGATGCGTCCTCTCATCCGGGAAGAATCAGAGCCCTGAAGCTGAGATCCCCGTTTCTCCATGGGCATCCACAGCCGGGACTATTCAGAGGGGTCATCCAGCCATCAGCTGTTAACTCACTTTTGCTCTCTCTCTTTTTTTTTTTTTTTTTTTTTTTTGAGAGACAGGGTCTTGCTCCGTCACTAGGCTGCTGGAGTGCAGTGGTGTGATCACAGCTCACTGCAATCACGACTTGGCGGCTCAAGCAATCATCCCACCTCAGCCTCCTGAGCAGTCGGGACCATAGGCGTGTGCCATCACACCTGGCTATTTAAAAATTATTATTATTTTTTTTTAGAGATGGGGCCTTGCTGTGTCGTCCAGGCTGGTCTAAAGCTACTGGGCTCAAGCATTTGGCCTCCGAAGGTGTTGAGATTACAGGCAAGAGCCACCGTGCCCAGTCCCAACTTTATGGAGAAACTGTTCCCTGCTGGACCCCAAAGCAGGTCCTTCTCAGCTTGTGCCAGCACAGCAAGAGATGCCAGGGCTGCCAGTCCCCCCACTGAGCAGGGCCAGACCCATGGGTGGCCAGTGAGTATTGGCTGGGACTTAAAAAGTTAAAAATGGTTGGGCATGGTGGCTCATGCCTGTAATCCCAGCACTTTGGGAGACTGAGGCAGGAGGATCATTTGAGTCCAGGAGGTCGAGACCAGCCTGGGCAACAGGGTGAGATCCTGTCTCTACAAAAAAGTTTAAAATTCTGTGGGTGTGGTGGTGCCCACCTGTAGTCCCAGCTGCTCGGGAAGCTGAGGCAGGAGGACCGCTTGAGCTCAGGAGGTCTGCAGTGAGCCAGGATGGCACCACTGCACTCCAGCCTGGGTGACAGAGTGGGACCTTGTCTCTAAAATGAAAATTAAAAGGGAAAACATGATCCTCCAGGAGCTGAGGTCACTGCCTGGGGCTCAGCTGCTCCTGACAGCACAGTTCTGGGCGGCTGACCCTGGCCTGCCTGCCCTGCCACCGGGAGCCCCGGGCTCTGGATCCTCACCCTCTGCAAGGTGCCTCCCTGGGCGGAACTGCCCTGCCCTGTGCTTTATGGAGCCCAGGCCCTCGGTCTGGATCCTAGAAGGGGGCGCCTGGTGTCCCGGCTTCGTCACTTGTCCCCAGCTGCAGCCTTAGGAGTTGCCTCCGTCTGAGGCTGCTGGCGGTTCCTTTTCCTTTAGAGGAAATGATTCCCCCGCTGAGCCTTGTTTAGTTGTGCGTCACGTTGAGGTGTCTGGCCTTGGGTTGAAAACGCTACCTCTTCCATCAGAAAACCGGTCACCTAAGAGCTGTTCCAAGTTACAGGTGGTGCCGGAGAACCGTGCTGCCCGGCGCTGCTCCAGGGACGTGGGGCGTGAGCGCTGCAGCCTTACCTAGGTCGGCGGTTGGGGCCTCACAGCAGAAACTCAGACCAGACCCGGCCACCCAGGCCCCCAGCTGCGGTGCGGAACACTGCACTTCTCTGGTGACTCCACCGAAACTCAGAGGCGCTCGGGGCGCCAGGTGCTCGTGCGTGGCGATGCTGGCATTTTGTTAGCTGGTGGGTGTAAAACAGAACGTGAGGGTGTCGTTCCTTGGGGGCTGCTGGAGAGGAGCTTGGCTGCAGTGCTGACCAGGTGCTGATGCGGTAGCCCCTGCCTTGGGTCTGGGGTAGCGGGAAGCCGGCGTCACGGGCGTCTCTGGGACCCCAGGCACGCTCTCCCCCTGGATGACACCCTAAGGCTGCGTCTCTGGTCCCGGGGAGGGAGCCATTTCTAAATGTGCCCTGGTGGCCCTTGAGGCTGTGTGAGGTCGGACAGTTCACAAAACCCTGTTTAAGGCAGTTGTCATTTTTAGATCAGTTGCTTTACAAACTTTTTTTGCACATACAAAACTCTTCTCTGAATCTCCTTCCAAAAGCAAGCTGTCATCTTTCTTGCCTCTGATGTTCAGAGCGACTTTAGGTTAATGCTGCTTGGATTTATTTTGTGCATGGTGGGGAGAGGTAGGTGCCAGCACCATCCCTTCCCATGCTGGGTTCCTGAGAGAAGCTTTGCCACTTGACTGGGCTGTCCCTGCTGCTTCGCCTCTCGGAGGGCACGTGGGTGGTCCAGGTTTCCTTGGCGGAACAGAGTCGTGACCTACCCAAGGAAGTGGGGGGCACGCTTGTGAGCACAGCATGGGGGCTGCCCGGGACCCCGGCTTCCCCCAGGTCTCTGGTTCCTCAGAGGGCCCCAGAGCAGGTGTGCCTCGAAGGACTGGGGTTTTGAGATGGGCACAGGCGCGCTCCAGCAGCCCTGGCGACCTTGACCTTGTGGAATTAGTCAGCTGCCCCTCCTGGGGTTGCCCCCGGCTACCGTACGCCTCCATGACGTCACAGGACATCGCGGGAGGCATCTTTTTAGTGGAAAGATCCTCACGCTGAACTCTGCCCCTGGCACCCTGCACGTCACCTGGGGACACGCCAGACAGCCCTGTCCCCCAGACCTTCCTTTTCCACCCAGCTGTGCTGCCATGGCGGGCAGTGGGCCTGGGGGCCAGGGAGCGGGTCCTTGCTGGGTGGGAGGCCCGGGTGTGTGGGAATGCGCGCGCGGCTCTGTAAACATCTGGTGACTCACCGCATAGCTATGTCGTGGCCGGCCTGTGCACTGACGTGCTCACGGTGGAGCTGGAAGCGGTGCCTGCGGCCCCTCCCTCTGACATGGAAAAGTTTCTCATGGTGCTTCCAGCCGCCGGCATTTGCAGGTCCCCACGGTGGCGGAGGCAGCTGGGCCCCGGCCTCTCCACTGTCACCCTCGCCCCAGGGCGGGGTGCGGAGGAGCCTGGAGTCCCCCTGGCCTTCCCCGGGACCGGCTGGTGCCATCCTGTGCCGTCTACATTAGCGCCCTGAGAGCAGCCGGCCTTGGCAGGGGCAGCGGACCCAGCAGCCTGGCGCAGGACCCTGTCTCACCTGTGTGGCCTTCTGGTTGTGGGGGTGGGTGGGCTGTGGGGGGGGTGCCCCTCGGAGGCAGGGCTGGAGGGTGGAGGGATTTGGGCCGAGGGCTCCCTGGCCCAGGGTGTGGGGAGGGTCCTGGGCCGGCAGGGAGGGCGGGATGGGGTCACCCGCCCCTTGGTGCCCATGTCTGGTGGAGGTGCTGACCAAGGACACCCCCACCGCCGTGTGCTGCTCTGACGTTCCCGCGGGAACCCGTGTCTGGTATTTGGGGTATGGGAGTGGGTGCTGTGGACCGGTCCCGCAAGCTTCCCGGCGCCTTCCGCCTGCCTGTCCCAGCCACCGGGTACAAATGGGTTTGTTGACTGCCTGCCGGCCTCGTGATGTCTGCGCAGACTGACCTGAAGTCAGGATCGCGTTTGGGCTTCTCAGTTTCCATGACGACCGTGGGAGCTGGCTCGGTCCCAAGGTCGTCATGGCAACTATCGGAGGGCTCATGCCGGGGATGCTTTGGCTGGGTTTTTCATGAATGATTAGAATGTGTGACACAATGCAGACGTGAGGACGGCGGGGGCGGCGGCGGGGACGACTCCCGCCAGACGGTGGAACGCTCGGCAGGGCGGCGGCTCCCCCACCTCCCTGGTCTCTGACTGCGGCCCCCGGACCTGCCGCCCCTCAGGAACCCCACACCCCCTTGGGCTGCAGGGTCCTCGCTCGGGGGCAGCTTAGTTGGAGGTGGTGATGTCACAGCTGCAGCGGCCGGGGCCGTGGTAGGTGTCCCGTGGCCTGTGGGGAGGGCGGGGTGGGAGGGCAGCTGGGGCTCCACCCAGGCCCACCATGGGGGAAGCTGGCGATGGCAGGGGCTCCCCAGAGGCCCCCTCTCGGGGATCCAGGCTGGGTCCGGAGCACTGGAGCCTTTGCAAGGGTAGGGTTGCTGTCCAGCGGGGCCCCACATTCCTCGGGGCCAGCACAGCTGCCTTGTGGGAGGGCGGTTTCGCCACCAATCGGTTTGGTCCTTGGGATGGAGCACCTTGTGCTGTGCAGGTGCAGACGTCTTCCCTGACCTCAGGGAGAATCAGAACAGGAAGCAGCCACTGCTGGTGCCTGCTGGTCACCCTACAGTGCCAGCAGCTGCAGCCCAGGTCTTCAGGGCAGCAGGGGGCTGCACCTGGCTGCCAGGCCCTGGGGTGGGGGTCCCAGCTGCTCTGTGGACTGTGCTAGAGTGAAGTGCAGCCAGACCTCCCCCTGGACCCTTGGGCAGAGACAGAGGCCGGGCCAGGATGCCCCACCCCCTGGGAAGCCCCCCAGGACGGGCTGGGCCGGGACAGTGCCCCATCTTGTTTTCAGGGTGCTGTGACCATCCACCCCAGGCTGAGGAACGTCCCTGCATGGGAGGTGGCCGTCCCTTCCGGCGCTGCTGGCCCTGACCTGCGCTGGCTTCTCTGCTTGCCCGTGTTTTCCAGCTACGAGTTCCAGGGAGCTCTGTCCTGGTGACTGTGCCCAGGTTATGACGACTAATCCCAAACCGAACAAGACATTAAAGGTAAGGCTGGCTCCAGGCAGGCCCCGTCTCAAGCACAGGTGTGGGAAAGGCCCCCCCAGCCCAATAGCCCCTGCTTTCCCAGGGCCGTCCTGAGCCTGTGATGGAGGCCTCCCTGTTGGCAGGAGGAGGGGGCTGCTGTGGCTGGGGGATGTTCACAGGAGAGGTGGGGCCAGGATCGGGGACTGCGGTTCCAGGAGATGACTCCCAGGCTCAGGGTGTGGCAGGGTCTGTCCGCCTGGGCTGTGTGTCCGCCGGGTGCTACTGTATGAGCTCATCCCCCAACTCCAGGCATGGGTAGAGTGGCCTCTGGTGAATGGGATGCTCCAGCTCCTGGGGCCTGGGCCCACCTGTGCCTGGCACTTGCCGCCTCTGCCATGGGGCATGCCTGTGGGCCGGCTCAGTCCCAGCAGCAGGACCCATGTGCTCCGGGTCCTCGTGGGCTCTGAGGCTGTCAGTAACCAGGAGTGACCGATGTCACCGCTGGCTCCTCCTGTTCAGAAAGGGTCCTGTGGGGCCACAGCCGTCACGTGGGCTGCCTGTGTGCATGGTATCCTGTGGTCCCTGGTGCGGACGGCAAAGGCCAGCCCCAAAAGAGCACGGGCATGCAGGGGCACCGCTGGGTCCCTGTCCACCCCGTGCCGGTCCCAGGCAGACACCCCACGTTCTCCCGCTGCTGACCCCGTGCTGTGGCCCCCCCAGGTCAAGAAGGAGGCGGGCGAGAACGCTCCGGTGCTCAGCGACGATGAGCTGGTGTCCATGTCGGTGCGGGAGCTGAACCAGCACCTGCGGGGTCTCACCAAGGAGGAGGTCACCCGCCTGAAGCAGCGTCGGCGCACGCTCAAGAACCGCGGCTACGCGGCCAGCTGCCGCATCAAGCGGGTGACGCAGAAGGAGGAGCTGGAGCGGCAGCGCGTGGAGCTGCAGCAGGAGGTGGAGAAGCTGGCGCGCGAGAACAGCAGCATGCGGCTGGAGCTGGATGCCCTGCGCTCCAAGTACGAGGCGCTGCAGACCTTCGCGCGCACTGTGGCCCGGGGACCCGTGGCGCCCTCCAAGGTGGCCACCACCAGCGTCATCACCATCGTCAAGTCCGCTGAGCTCTCCTCCACCTCCGTGCCCTTCTCGGCCGCATCCTAGTGCCGGCTGGGGGCGGGGAGCGGGGGGCAGGTGGGCGGGGGCGCGCCCCTCGTACCTGTCACTGGGACGCAGACTCTCGACATCCGAGTCCAAGCGCAGACCCCTCGGGCGCGGGCAACTCACACCAGGATGAGACTGTGGTACAGGGTGAAGAGTGGGCTCCCGTGGGCCCAGAGCTGCATGCCGGTCCACACACACACTCACGCCCGCCCCCTGCTCCCCGCAGGATGCGTGTGTGTGTGGGAATTGGCATCTTGCACCCGTGGGAGTCGGGACGTATAACGGAAAGGCCCTCGGGAAGTTCCGCCGTCCCTCGCGGGGGCTGCCAGGAGACACGGCCCCAGGAGTCAGGCCCTGTGGTCAGGTCAGCGTGGGGCTTGTTTTCCACTCCAGCTGGGAGCAGCCTTCGACACCTGTCCTGCTGTGGCCTCCCGGCTGGTGCGGGAGCCCCTCGCTGCCCTGACCGACTCCGCAGACCCCGGGAGGAGCATGGGTGGTGCGTCGGCAGCTCCCTCCTTCCAGCTGTCCTGTTGCAGTTGCCCGTGACCCGCGTCTGCCTTAGTAGGGGCTTGCGCAAGTGGGCGCGGTGTGGGAGGCCGCCTGCGTGGGGTGGTGTCTGTGTGTGTGCACGAGTGTGTGTGTCGCCTGCCATCACAGCACCAGGGCTGAGGGGGCAGGTGTTCACCGGGGGAGGGCCTGTGGGCACGTGTGGCAGAGAGAGTGGCTCATACGTCGTGAGGTCTCCCCTGTGCTCTGGTGACCCGAGGAGGTCGTGCAGCACAGCACAGAAGCCCCGCCCACGGGAGCCGGCCCCCCAGACAGTGACCCCGCAGGCCATCCTGGGCCTCAGCGGACACGGACAGGAGCGTCCCATCATTTGATAGTGAGCAGGACTCAGGCTCTGTGTCCTGGAGCTGCTGCTCGCCAGCTGTGGTCAGTGCAGGGGGAACGAGGAGGTCTTTTGGGGGCCTAGAGGGGAAGGGCCGCTGCAGTCTAGGGAGAGGGGGTGCAGCCTAGGGGACGTTGGTAGATGTGGACGTGGAGGTGGGAGGGAGAGGACGTTGCGTTGGGTGGCGGGAGGAGGCGGGAGCCGTGTGCGAGAGCTGGTGGAAAGGCTTGAGGGGCAGGACCAGGATGCGGCTGGCTTATACAAGAGCTCAGGAGTGAGGCTGGCACTCCGGAGGGCGTGGTGGGCGGGGAGGCGGCAGGCACCAGGCCAGGAGAGCCTCGTGGATGTGGCTCCCACGTGCACACCCCCAGGAGCACAGCCACGGGCTGCAGGTGTGGCCTTGGCACTCAGTCCTCACCCGGAGCCTTCGCCTGCTCCTCCTTCCCCGAGCACCGAGGCACTGGTGGGCCTGGCACTCCACCTTGGGCTTCCTTTTCCCGGAGTGCCACCTTGAGGGTCCCTGCTGTGACTGGGGTATCTGCAGCGGGGGTCGCAGAGCCCCTGCCTGGGGGAGCTGGCAGAATGTGAGCCGCTGGCCGGGGGCCGCCACCTCGGACATGCAAGGTGGTGCCTCAGCTCCCTCTCGGCTGCCCCTGCCCACGCAGTAACACCCCCACCGGTTGCAGAGCCCAGGGCGGTGCCAGCCACGCTGGGAGGGCGGAGGACAGACAGCCCCGGGGCGGCGACTTGGTTCTGTGTCTACTGTTAGAAGTGAGTGGGAAGCTGCAGGCCCGCCAGGACCACTGGGTCCCTGTGGAGCAAAGGCCTGCGAGTTCCCAAACAGCCGTTGCCCCCGTGGCCGTGGTAGGTAATCCATATTGGATGTCATAAGGACCAGGGGGATATTTAAAGAGAGAAACAGAAACTATATAGAGATATAAAATTATATTCACAGTTTATCTACAGATTTTTCGTAACAATCTTTCTTTTCCAGTTTGATACTGTAAATCTATCAGAGCAGAGCTTGGGGGCACGGGCACAGGTGGGAGTTGGGAGCGAACCGGAGGCCCAGGCTGCCCGTCATCCCCCTCACCACGGACTGCACCAGGCTGCTGGGCCCCCACTGGACAGGCTGCAGCGGGTGGCCGATTCTGTCCCATCTTGGGGTTCTTGGTGTCCACGTCTTGCGGGCCGTGGGCGACCACCTGCCCTCGGCCTGTGGTGCTTTGCCGGAGAGGGGACTCCGCGGCCCCCAGGGTGGACGGAGCCGCTGTCACCGCCCAGAGCCGGGCCGGGGAAGCACGGCGCGTTCTGCTTTTCTTTTCGGATCGTTGAAATTTCATTGTCATGATTTAATATATGGATTTTTTTATTTAAGAAAAAGACGAAGGCCTCTTTGCCGCGTGGGTTTGTTTTCTGTCTCTGTGCCTCCGGCTTCCCAAAGAGATCCAGGTCTTTGCGTTTCCAGGGCGTGGGGACCCCTGCCCCCCACGCCCCCACACCGCCTCACCCTGGCCTCTGTGCTACTTGGCAGTTCCATTTCAATATTTATTTTTGTGCTGCTTTTTATCATGATATAAATTATTGAGAACAGATCACATGTGGGCCCGTGTCTGGCCACCGCCGCCCTGCCCCGTCCCTGCGGCCACCACCTAATTTATTGCCGTGCGTCCTGCTGCTGTGACCGCTTTTGTACCTTTGCAATAAAGAATTTTCTGGTTTCAGACCCTTTTGTTGTGCAGTTGGTGCTTTTGGCTGGGGCTTTTTTGGGCCAAGAACCACACACCCCCCCCCCCCAATCCCAGGGGACCCCGCCTGTCCCTCACCAGGGTCAGGATCCGGGCACCATGTGTAAGTGGCTTTCCCAGACTGCTGGCCTGTGACCGTGATGCTGGGACAGCCCCAGGGGAGGTGCTGGTCAGGTGGCCACGTCCCGGGCTCAGTCTCTGAGGGTCCGGCCAGTCCTGAGTGTCGCCATCTGCCCCACCCACAGCCCCCTGTCCACACAGCCTCTCCCAGTGGAAGGAGCAGAGAGCACCATGGCTGTCAGTGTCCCCCTTCTCCGGGAGATCCCTCACCCAGCTCTGCTGGACTCTCAGAGGAGCCTGCAGGAAGTTGTGAGCAAGACAGTGTCTGTCTGGGAGCAGAGAGCAGAGCGCCCCTGCACAGTGGCTGGAAGCCTGTGGACTCCTCTGAAAAGCCGAGGGCCTGCCCACATGCCATCCCCGCTCCGCCTGGCCTTCCGGGAGAGCAGCCCCGGCCCACCTGGCCCCATTTTTGGGGCTGAGCTGACCGAGGTGTGAACGCCGTTCAGTGCTGGACCACGCAGGGTGAAATCCAAGCTGGATTTTTTTGAGACAGGATCTTGCTCTGTCACCCAGGCTGGAGTGCAGGGGCGTGATCACGGCTCACTGTAGCCTCGACCTCCCGGGCTCAAGCAATCCTCCCATCTCAGCCTCCTGAGTAGCTGGGACCGCCGGCATACACCACCACGCCCAGCTAATTTTTGTATTTTTTTTGGAGAGATGCTGTTTTACCATGTTGTCCAGGCTGGTCTCAGACTCCTGGGCTCAAGCAATCCACTCGCCTTGGCCTCTCCAAGTGCTGGAATTACAGGCATGAGCCACGGCACCCGATCATAATCCCACCTCTCAGCATCTGTGTGGCCTGGGGCCAGTTCCCTCCTTCCCAGCCTTGCTTCCTGTAAGGTGGGTGTGGAGGTGACTGCAGCAGCCGGTGAGGGCCGCGGTGAGGGTTCAATCTGTGTTGGGGCCACAGCAGCCTGAGCTTGTCACTAGCAATGGCAGGGATGGCACTTTCCCCAGCTAAGTCAGACCTCCCCTGTGGCCCACCCTGCGGCTCGGGGCCCAGCCTGCTCCTCCTGGGGGAGCTGGTGGGTGTGAATTGGGGACACAGCCCCAGCACCGTGTGGGGCTCCTGGAGGCCACGGACAGACAGGGAAGCTGTGAGAGGAGAGCCGCCCCACCCGGCCGTGCAGCCTGCACCCGGGCCAGGCCAGGGCCCCCAGGGCTTCTACCGTTTCTTGTGGATGCTGGGGATTTTCAGCTGGACCATCTCCCAGACGAGGACACTGAGGCAGGAGAGGTTAGAGAGGTTGGCGGGGGCACTGGGCCAAGACATGCAGCTCCTGCCTGCCTCGAGGCCCGCTCCTCTGTCGGGGCCTGTCACCGAGAAACCCCTTTTTCTGCAGCGATGATGACACTGGAACCACGCTGGTCTCCGTCCTTCCCCCTCTCATGAGCCCACGCTCCCTCTCGAGGCGGGTTGAGCCCCGGCCTGGGCCGCCCCGTGCTGCCTTCCGTCCACGCAAGAGCCCCCCATGCTGCCTTCCGTCCACGCAAAGCGGGCTCAGCCCTCGGGGCTTTCCTTCGAGTGGTGTTGGAAAAAAAGCAGAGCAGCCCCACCCGCGGGCAGAGGCATCTGTGAGGCTCAGGAGGCAGCGGGGGGAGAGAGGGCCTCCGTGGAGCCGGCTCCTGGTGTCCGAGTCCCTGCTCCGTGACCCCAGGCAACTTGCTCCATCTCTCTGGGCTCGGTCGCCGTCCCAGCTGGCGTGAGCGCTGAGCGTGTCAGTGTCCTGGCACGGTCCTGGGGCGTGTGTCCTGGTGTGAGCGCTGAGCGTGTCAGTGTCCTGGCACAGTCCTGGGGCGTGTCAGTGTCCTGCCACAGTCCTGGGGCGTGTGTCCTGGCACAGTCCTTGGCTGGTCCGAGTGGGCATTTGGAGGAAACTGACTTCTCCCCGTCCGAAAGCACAGGCCTGAGGGGCTGCTGACATAGGAGCTCAGCCCCCAACACCTCAGCCTCTGCCGCCCGGAGCCACGTGGTGTCTGGGTCTCCAGAAGGGGAGTCCTCGGCCACGCACCCTCCAAACACAGATTTCAGCAACTCGATCTCTAATGGGGTGGCCTTCCCCAGGGCAAGGGCAGAGCAAGCCTGGCGTCTGGCCAGTGCCCCCAGCCTCCAGAAACGGGCCCTCGGCAGCAGGTCCCCAGGGAGCACCACACCCCCACCTGCTGACAGAGTGAGACACGGGGGCTGCCTGGTGGGTCTCTCCCTGTGGGGGTCCAATAAGGCAGGCGGGCGTCTTTGCAGCCACGCAGGGAGGAGCTCAGCCTATCAGGCAGCCCGGCCGGGCCCTGCAGACCCACTGGCCTTAGATCCCCACGTCCCCAGCCCAGGAAGCAAGAGGCTGGGAGCTGGCCCTCTGTTGCCTGGACCTCACTGGTCCGTGCCCGCCTTGCTGAGTCTCTTGGAGACTCCAGGTCCTGCTGTTCCCGGTGGCCGTGGTCATGGGTAGGGGCAGCACAGGTGGGAGCCGCGGTCCCCGGGTGGTGCCCACTGGGCCTTCCTGTCTGCTCTCCATGCCCAGTGCCTGAGCCCCCCAGGCCTTGCCCACTTCTGCTGCCCCTGCCCCAGCCCCTACCCAACCTGTGCTACAGGCCCCAGACACACAGAACTGACTGCCACCTGCAGGCCAGGTCACTGCACTGTCCCCTGAGGGGCCCTGGGCCTGGGGGGTGCCCTGCGGTGACATCCCTCGCCCTGGGCCAGCTGTGTGTCCTTCCAGAAGCCCCCTTAGTTCCTGGGCGGCTGTTGTTCTCGCCGCCGGGATTTCCAAGGCCTCTTGGACGCCTCCAGCTTCCTGAGGGCAGGGCACGTGTCTGAAGCTCGGCTCCTCAAACCCAGGGCCCCACCTGGCACGTGGAGGAAGAAGAGAAGGGGAGGAGGCAGGTGCCCAGGCGGGAGCCCCCTCTGTGCCCCCTGGGAGTGCCCCCCCAGGTACTCAGGGCCCTGCTCTCGCGGCCTTGTCCCCTCGCCATGAGTGGGGCTGGCACAAGGCCCATTCTGGAGGAAGCAGAGACTCCCAGCAGAAAGGCGGCAGCTGTGATCTCACAGTCCAGCCTCTGCCCTGCACTGCCCTGGGCCACGAGTCTGCCCACCCCAGTCAGGTGGGACCCCTTTCCCGCATGCAGACTCTGTGACCCCCACCGCGTCCTGCTCCTCAGGCTCAGGCCCTGCAGGAACAGAAGCCAAGACGCAGTAGAAAATCCAAGGTGTTTAGGCTGGGCGAGGTGGTTCACGCCTGTCATCCCAGCACTTCGGGAGGCCGAGGCGGGCGGATCACAAGGTCAGGAAATCGAGACCATCCTGGCTAACATGGTGAAACCCTGTCTCTACTAAAAAATACAAAAAATTAGCCGGGCGTGGCGGCGGGCGCCTGTAGTCCCAGCTACTTGGGAGGCTGAGGCAGGAGAATGGCATGAACCCGGGAGGCGGAGCTTGCAATGAGCCGAGATCGCGCCACTGCACTCCAGCCTGGGCCACAGAGCAAGACTCCGTCTCAAAAAAAAAAAAGAAAATCCAAGGTGTTTAAATATAAATAAGAGCAGTTCCCACAGCCCCGCGGTGCTGGCCAGCCTCACGGGCACCCGGTGGTTCCACGACCCATCCCAGGCACACGCTCCTCTGGGTGGGCGCCTGACCAGGGCTCCCCTGTGGCTGGTGTGTGAAGACATGTGGGCCCTTCTCCACGTGCCCACGATGGCCACAGCAGGCTCCGAGGAGGCCCAGCCCTGGCCAGCTTGCGTGGACCTCACCGGTCTGCGGCACCCGGAGCTGCTGACTGTGTCAGGGCCCGGCTGCCCAGCGCCCCGGCGCCCCTCCCTCCAGCTGCCCAGCCTGGGATCCGTGCGCTGTCTGTCTCCTGAGCCAGGGAGTCTGGCCCACTCATAGCTCCCGTGGGGCCCGTGCAGCCAAGGCCCGGCAGCCACGCTGACTCCCTGCCCCACGGTGGCCCCTGGGGCTGATGGCCAGCTGATCCTGGGGTCCCCAGGCTCTTCCGATTGGCTCAGGTGCCCTCTCCTTGGGTGGCGGGCCCACCTGGGTGCCTGGCAGGGCCATCAGGTGCCCTGACCCCCGGGCTGGAGGGAGGATGGGAAATGGGCTCCGAGGGCTTTGCAGGAGGGCTCTCAGGAGAGGCCCCCACCTTTGGCAGGGTTGATGGGTGGGGGGCCCTGTTCTTCCCCAGAGGCCTGGACAACCTGGGTCCCTAAAGGACCGGCGGCCCAGGCTCCCCTACAGGTCCTCCGAGGGGATGAGCATCCGCTTCTCCAGGCTCCGGCTCTTCCTGCCCCCACCAGAGCTGCCGCCGGGGTGGGTGCCGGGCCTGGGCGCCTCCTGCGTGGCCTGCTGTGTGTAGTGCTGGTAGGCGGGGGAGAAGTTGTGGATGGCGTCCTGCACGATGTCCTGGGGGCTCACTGTCTCCCTGAGGCCACTGGAGATGCTCTGCATGGGTGCCGGGGGTGCTGGGGGAGGGCAGCGTATGAGCCCCACCATCCCCCACTGTGCTCCAGCCCCCACCGGACAAGCCCCCTCAGCCCCGCCTCCCAGGATGCCCAGGGCTGCGGCTCCTGCATGTCCAGGTCTGGCCTCGGCCAGCGGAGGGTGGCCCCAGACCCCTGGACCCCAGCCCAGCTTGCTCCACCCACCACCAGGCCTGTTCCTGGCCAGACTCCTGCCAAGGACCACGTCCCCTAGAGTTTCCAAGGGGCTCCAAGCAGCGGAGTATGCCTTTGGCTGGCCTGGGGTGGGCACCCTGGTATCTCCACAATGACTGATGAGAAGCCAGGCAGGCCACAGGCTGTCCCTGCCCTAATGGGGGGCGTGCCTGGCAGGGGACACCCATCCCCCATCACCATCGGGGTCCGGGCCCACCTGGACCCCACACAGCCCAGGTCCCTGTCTGGAGCTGGATGCCCTTTGGCCATCTCCCTGCCCAGCGAGCTGGCATTCCTGGGCCTCGAGAGTGACACGGACACAGACCTGGTGTCCAGGGCAGGGCTGTGCGCCCTGGCTGGAAGGCAGAGCATACCTGGCGAGTTCTCCTTCTTCTCTGCGTACACCTGGCAGGGGAAGGCATAGCGCAGGGCCACGGAGGCAAACAGCATCTCCACGCAGATGATAAAGTTCTGGTAGCCAGCGGCCAGTGTGCCGGCCCCCAGCCTGTTCCCACCGCTGGTCTCCACCTCTGGGATGACCCCGCACCGCTCCAGGACGGCCAGCAGCAGCCCTGCGGATGCCACGGCTGCTCAGCCCCAGCCCCGGATGGGGTCTGCAGGGGAGGAAGAGGCCCCGGACCCCGCAGCGGTTCCTCTGATAGGCGCCGTGACCCTGTCCGTGTGGTCTTGTCCCACTCCGGGAGACTGAGGTTCAGGGGGGCAGGGTGCCTCCAAAGTCGGGGGTCTCAGCACAACAGGTGCTCAGGAGCTCTCCCGGGCCCGCCCTGCCGCTCCAGCCCCAAATCTTGGGCCGGTCCCCAGCTTCTCCCTGTCTGGTGGCCATCCTCCTCTGCCAAGGTGGGCTGTGAGTTCACTGGCCTGGCAGGGACCGGGACTGAGAAATGTCAGTGTGGCCTCTGTGCGACCTCTCTCCACTGACCATGGGCCCAGACCTGCTGGCAGGACCTCCCCACTCCCCCTGTGCCCGCAGGCTCTAGCTGACCTGTGCTGCCGCTGGGGAAACTGAAGCTCAGGGGAGCTGGGGAAGGGGGCGTGAGGTGACCCCAGGCTCTCTGGACTGCAGCCCCCGCCTCGGCAGCATCCCTGCCCCACACACCTTGCCAGAACGACAGGAAGATGACGGCTTTGATGGTGAGGAACTTGAGGACAGGCTGGAAGGGCCGCAGGAGCTCCCTGGTGGTGAAGTAGAAGAGGAACAGGGCGTAGAGGGCGAGGCTGACAGAGGCATTGTAGATGAGGGTCACATAGAGGTAGCCGCTGCGGACACTGGAACAGACGGGAGCTGTGGTCAGGGCAGCCCCACGATCCCGCCACCCTCCCCACCCTAGAGCCGCCGCCGCACCCTCGGCCTGGCTCCCACCCTGAGCTTGGGAGCATCCTGCCCCGATCTGATCCTCACTTCAGGGCCCGCAGGAGAGCGTAGGGAGCTGGGGGTGACTGGGGGGCCTATGCAGGCGTAGGGCAGGGACATGCAGCCATTCTCCCTACCAGCCCTGCTCCTCCTTGTCCCAGGATCCCATCCTCTGTGCAGGCAGCATCCAGGCTGCCTCTGCTGGAACGCTGCCTCCCAACCCCGTCCACCTGGCCACTGCCTGAAGGTCCTCTAGGTGGTGGACACACAGGTGTCGTTCCCGTGTGTGTGCACATATGTGTGTGTGCACAGACGTCGTGTGCACATGGTTGGGGTGCATCGTGTGTGTGCACACATTGCGTGCATGTGAGTGTACATATGTGTGTGGTTGTGCTGTGTGCATGTGTGAACATGTGATGCACCTGTGTGATGTGTGTGCACAGGTGAAAGCACATGTGTCCGTGTGTGAGCATGTGTGTGGTGTTGGTGAGCGTGTGTGTGGTGTTGGTGAGCGTGTGTGTGGTGTTGGTGAGCGTGTGTGGTGGTGTTGGTGAGCGTGTGTGGTGGTGTTGGTGAGCGTGTGTGTGGTGTTGGTGAGCGTGTGTGTGTTGTTGGTGAGCATGTGTGTGGTGGTGTTGGTGAGCGTGCGTGTGGTGTTGGTGAGCGTGTGTGGTGGTGTTGGTGAGCGTGCGTGTGGTGTTGGTGAGCGTGCATGTGGTGTTGTTGGTGAGCGTGTGTGTGGACCTTGGCAGGGGTCCTTCCTGTGCCAGGCGACTGGCTATCTGCTCAGACAACAGGTCGGGGTGGACCTTGGCCCCGTTGGCCCAGGTGTCTTTAATACCAAGAGTGCTCAAGGCTGGGCGGGGGCTGGGGCCGTCACTGCCTGGACAGAAGCACTGAGGTCCTCAGCACAGACGCTGGCACAGACGCCAGACTCACCCTGGCCATGTCCTGTGAGGGGAGGTCCAGGCCCCCGGCCTTGGCAGGCACTGAGGTCCTTGTGGAGAGGAAGTGGGTACCTGTCTTGGGCGGGGTCCCTAGCCCAGCTGGACGCCAAGCTCGCCTCAATGGGCCCCATTGCCGGGCCCCGGCCCAGTGCCCACCTCATGCCAGGCACCCCTGAAGCTCCCACCTTACTTGAGCCCAGCTGGACGCCAAGCCCGCCTCACTGGGCCCCACTCCTGTGCCCCGGGAGACCCAGTGCCCACCTCATGCCAGGTGTCCCCGCAGCTCCCGCCTTACTTGAAGTCCCCGTCGTGGTATTTGCCAAATGCCTGGAGGATGATGGTGGTGACGGCCATGACGGGCTTCACCAGGCAGAACTGCAGAGTGGCCTGGGGGCGACAGCACCCGGTGGGCCTGGGGCCAGGTCCCCCAGGGGCCCAGGAATGGGGGTTGGGACAGCCGGCAGTGGGCAGCCCCCTGACACTGGGCGGGGTGGCGCTGGGCTGGCCAGGTGGGAGGAGGGCGGGCAGGGCTGGGCGGACCCACTTACCTGCTTGCAGAAGCGCAGGAACCCGATGGAGTAGGTCATGTCCCGGAGGCAGCAGGTGCCGTAGAAGCAGCTGGACCTGCGGGGGACATCCCTGAGCCGGTGCGGGAGAATGCAGCCCGGTGCCGCCCGGGCTCCCAGTCCCAGGTGTGTGGGGTGTGCGGGCTCTGGGGTGAGACGCTCACTTGATGGGCTTTCCACGAATCTCAGCCATGATGGCACCCTCGCCTCCCAGGTACTGGAAACACAGGCTCAGGAAGCTGTAAATGACAAAGGCTGCAGGGAGCGCAGAGGGGGACCGGCTGTGAGTCCTGAGCTGCACCGGGACCCCGTGGCGCCCATCTCACCAGGACAGGAGGAGGCTCGGGAGGGGCCAGGCCTGGCAGATCACACAGCAAGAGGCTCCTGATGGGCCCCATCCCCAGTGGGGCAGCCTGAGAGGGTCAGGGTGCTCCTTCAGGGCCCCGCTTTCACCCCAGGCCAGGGCAGGTCCACCGAGCCCCTCGCACGGAGGCTGTGGGGGCATGTGTTCCAGGCCTGCCAGCGCCACTAACCCCGGCTGTCCTGGCAGCCCCTCCGACAGGGGCCGGGAGAGTGGGGTGCCCTGGGGGCTGGCCACGGAAGTGTGTCCGTGCATGCAGGCTCCGGGGAGTCTCTCCCTCCGCTCCCCCGACAGATGCCACCCAGCGCCCACCTTCATAGCAGTCCCGCACAGAGTCAAAGTAGACGTAGTACTGGTGGTCTCCCAGGAGCAGGAGGCTGAGCCAGGAGTCGAAGGCATAGATGGGCACGATGAGGAGCAGGCGGATGATATAACGCTGTTCTTGTGGCACCGTGTAGGAGCGCAGGTGCAGGTAGATCTGGGTGCAGGATGGTTTGGGTGAGAGCCGGGCCTGCCTAGTACCCCTGCACCAGCCCAGGTGAGCCAGGAAGGAGGTGGGGGCTGGGCGCGGGCCACCAGGCACCTTCTATGTTTGCATTTTCTAGTTTTCTACAATGGGCATCCTTATTACAATTACAGAAAATAAATTATTTGCCTATTGTAATCAGATGCATACTTTTATACTTATTTACTATAAAAGCCCATATAAGTATGAATGTGTAAGTATACATTAAATACATATTTCTGATTACAACTAAAAATAATACACATTTTAAGAATTTACTTTTTATGGCTGGGCGTGGTGACGCACACCTGTAATCCCAGCAGTTTGGGAGGCCAAGGTGGGTGGATCATTTGAGGTCAGGAGTTCAAGACCGGCCTGGCCAACATGGTGAAACCCCGTCTCTACTAAATATACAAAAATTAGCCAGGTGTGGTGGCGTGTGCCTGTAATCCCAGCTACTCGAGAGGCTGAGGCAGGAGAATCGCTTGAGCCTGGGAGGTGGAGGTTTCGGTGAACTAAGATTGCGCCACTGCACTCCAGCCTGGGCAACAGAGCGAGACCCTGTCTCAAAAAAAAAAAATTATTATTATTATTTTTTTTTTTTTTTTGAGACGGAGTCTCGCTGTGTCACCCAGGCTGGAGTGCAGTGGCCGGATCTCAGCTCACTGCAAGCTCCGCCTCCCGGGTTTACGCCATTCTCCGGCCTCAGCCTCCCAGTAGCTGGGACTACAGGCGCCCACCACCTCGCCCGGCTAGTTTTTTTTGTATTTTTTAGTAGAGACGGGGTTTCACCATGTTAGCCAGGATGGTCTTGATCTCCTGACCTCGTGATCCACCCGCCTCGGCCTCCCAAAGCGCTGGGATTACAGGCTTGAGCCACCGCGCCCGGCCAAAAAAATTATTTTTTTGAGAAACATGGTCTCGCTCAGTTGCCCAGGCTGGAGTGCAGTGGCACAATCATGGCTCACTGCAGCCTGGAAACTCCCAGGCTCTGGTGATCCTCCTACCTCAGCCTGCTGAGCAGCTGGGACTACAGGTGTGCACCACCTTGCCTGGCTAATTTTTGTATTTTTCGTACAGACAGGGTCTCACTGTGTTGCCCAGGCTGGTCTCAAAGTCCTAGGCTCAAGCGATCCTCCTGCCTCCGTCTCCCAAAGTGCTGGGACTACAGGCGTGAGCCACTGCACCTGGCCTAAAATTTATTTTTTAAATTGGCAAATCAAACTTGTATGCATTTACAGTGTGCCGTGCGATGTCTGATATGTGTGTTCGTGGGGAATGGCTGAGTCAAACCCATTAACATCTCCATTATCTCCCATACTTAGCATTTCTTTGCAGGGAGGACATGTAAAATGTACTCTTTTAGCAATTTTCAAGCATAGAATACATTGTTATTTATAGTAGTCACCATGTTGTACAATAGATCTTTTTTTTTTTCTGAATGACTTCCTTGGGCATGAGTGAGGGTCCTGTTTGTTCCTAGCCTGGGAAAGGGAACTGTCACTCATTCCTTCATTCAGCAGGCATTTCTGGAGCCGTTAAGTGTCCAACCCGGGGGGCGGGGAGGGGACATGTCCTGGTCCTGGGCTGGGCAGACTCTCAGAAGGCAGGTTGGCTTTTGCTGTGGGGGCATCCAAAGGACGTGCACCCTTTGATTCCTAAGAATTTATCCCTCCCTAGGGGCCGGGCACGGTGGCCCACCCCTGTAATCTTAGCACTTTGGGAGGCTGAGGCGGGCGGAGTGCCTGCGCTCAGGAGTTTGAGACCAGCCTGACCAACAGGGCAAACCCCATCTCTGCTAAAAAATACAAAAATTAGCCAGGTGTGGTGGCGGGTGCCTGTAGTCCCAGCTACTTGGGAGGCTGAGGTGGGAGGACGGCTTAAATGCGGGAGGCAGAGGCTGCAGTGAGCAATGATTATGCCGCTGCATCCCAGCCTGGGCCACAGAGTGAGATCTTGCCTAAAAAAAATGAAAGTCTGTAATCCCAGCACTTTGGGAGGCTGAGACGGGCGGATCACGAGGTCAGGAGATTGAGACCATCCTGGCTAACACGGTGAAACCCCATCTCCACTAAAAAATACAAAAAATTAGCTGGGTGTGGTGGCGGCGCCTGTAGTCCCAGCTACTCGGGAGGCTGAGGCAGGAGAATGGCGTGAACTCGGGAGGCAGAGCTTGCAGTGAGCTGAGATCTGGTCACTGTACTCCAGCCTGGGCAACAGAGCGAGACTCTGTCTCAAAAAAAAAAAAAAAAAAAAAGGAAAGCCTGAGAAAAAATATGGGTGATTATAATGTTTGCCTTTAAACCTTTCTAGATTTTTCCCTGTTTTTATTTATTTATTTATTTATTTATTTATTATTATTATTTTTTTTTATTGAGACAGAGTCTCGCTCTGTCGCCCAGGCTGCAGTGCAGTGGCGTGATCTCAGCTCACTGCAACCTCCACCTCCCGGGTTCAAGCGATTCTCCTGCCTCAGCCTCCCGAGCAACTGGGACTACAGGCATGCACCACCATGCCCGGCTCATTTTTGTATTTTTAGTAGAGACAGGGTTTCCCCATGTTGGCCAGGCTGGTCTCGAACTCCTGACCTCAGGTGATCTACCTGCCTTGGCCTCCCACAATGCTGGGGTTACAGGCGTGAGCCACCGTGCCCGACCAATTTTCGAAGTTTTCTGTGAGGACACAACAAAGGGTCCTCCTGTCTGAGGACCCTTTCAGACAGGGTCAGCCGAGCCTGGGAGCTGGGCGCACGGGGGCCCATGTGGAAGGCTTTCTGGAGGAGATGCGTGAGCGGCGGCGGGTAAGCAGAAATGACATACACCTGGCTGCTTGGGGTGCAGCTCAGGGAGTTGGGGGAGGTTGGCGGCAGGAACGGACTCTTATCAGTCACACACTCCCCGCCGGTGCCTGGGAGGGACGGCATGACCAGCCATCAGGAGACCTCTCCCGGGGCTGGTGCTGCCTGGCTGGGTGACCTTGACAAGCCACTGTCCTCTCTGGCCCTGGTCCTCCCATGTATAAAGCAAGGGGGATCCAGCCACTCTGTGTCCTGCCTGGGACTCCTCACTCGAGGGTGGCTCTGGAGGTGGGCTCAGGGGTGGGACAGGGCCTGAACTCCAGCTCAAGGGGTTTCCATGAGCCCTGTCTTGACCACGAGGCCCCATGAAGCGGAAGCCACACTATAGCCGCACACACACAGCCGGTTCCCAGGATTACAGCACAAAGACGGCCTCCTCCGGGAAGCCCTCTCTGATGACCTTACAGAAAGGGCCTGCCTCAGCACCACCTCTGCGGCTCTGCACCCTCCAGGCCCACACTCATACTACCTTGGGTTCTGGTTATCTGCTCACAGCTCACTGCAGCCTTGAATTGGGCTCAAGCGATCCTCCCACCTCAGCCTCCCTAGTAGCTGGGACTCCCGGTGCAGGCCTCCATGCCCAGCTAATCAGCTGTCACAGAGATGCTGCCTCGGAGGCTTGTGGCCATCGGGGTCCCTGCCTGCCAGTCTCCTGATGGCCCCCTGCCCTGGCTCACCTACAGATCCATTCCCTACACCAGTGCCCCGTGCACCCGGGGAGCAGCTCTGCTCTCAGCCCAGCCCTCCACAGCCTTCCTGGGCTCCTAGCACCCCTCAGAAGCTGCCTCCCCACACTGGGGTCAAGGGCTCTGGACAAACCCCTGCAGCTGTGTGACCCTCGCTGGCCTGTACACGCCTTCCCACCCCACCCCTGCACACACTGCCCTGGCCTCTCTGTGTATCCGAGGCTCTCAGGCAGGTCCCGTCCCTGACCCTCTGCCCTCTCTGCCCACCCCCTACCCTCAGGCACCACTTCCTCCTTGCTCCTGCCTGGCCCTTCCTTGCCACCGCGCCTGGCCACTTCTCTACCTGGGGGCTGTTCTATTCCCACCTGGGGACTGCTGCGGGTCGGGGGCTGTGTGTGTGGCTTGGGGCTTGAGGAAGTTGCTTCTCGCCCGCCTCCCACACAGCAGTTCCAGTGCCTCCAGCCAAGCTGTGACCTTTGCTCCCCAGCTCCCTACAGAGCAAAGTCCAACCCCCTGCCAACCCCCCACCAGCCTTCTCCAGGGTGCCACACCTCTGGAGGGAGAAGGCCCCTTCCCCTTTTCAACTACGTGAGCTTGGGAAAGGCCTCTGGTCTCTCTGAGACTCAGTCTTCTTGTCTGTGAAATGGGACTACACTGCTGACCTCAGGGAGCCGGGTGAGGAGCCTGTGAAATAGCCGGGGATGCCTGGTGGGTGCTCTGCCCTCAGCCTGGCAGAGACCTCCCCATTTTCAGGCCCAGCTCCCACACGCCACGTCCTGGGAAACTCATCCCCTCCCCCGTGCCCTGGCCAATCCCACTTCTGACAGCATCTGTAGCAGCAGCACCCAGCGGGGCCGGGCTGAGCCACGGCCACGTCCCGTGGAGACTGGGGTCCTGAAAGAGGCTCGGGGGCTGGAGGGTTTACCTGGTGGCAGGTGAGCACCAGGGCAGTCCACACGAAGATCCCCGAGACGCCTCGGGCCAGCGCGGAGGTGAGGAAGAGCCAGGGGGCCCCCTGGGAGCCGTTCCCCATGTGGTCCATCTGCGGCCCAGCTGGCACAGCCGGCGGGGGCCTGGGCTGCGGCCAGGTCGCTGACACCAGGGGGACACCGGCTGTCTCCAGGATCCCTGAGACATTACTCATCTGCAGAGGGAGGAAGGACACACACCGGGAGGAGTGAGGGCAAAGGTGCCGGCTCCCAGCAGCAGGAAGCAGCCGGGGAGGGAGGAGACAGTGAGAGGCTGAACAACCCGCCAGGCCGCGCCCCCCACAGGGACACCAGCGTCAGGCCCGGCTCCCTCCCTGCTCCGAGCTCAGCCACCCAGGCTCACCCCATCAGCCACCTGCGACCTGAGGGCCCCACCTCGGTTCCCCCTTGTAAAACCAGCTTCCACCTCCAAGCCTCAGGTTTGCAGGGAGCCTGCTTCTTAGGAGACAAAGACTGTCTTCCAGTGGGGTGGGAGAGGGGAACCCCTGCCGCCCTGCCTGCCTGGGAGGTCTGGGGAGCAGGCGCAGACCAGCACTGCCTGCCCCGGCAGAAGGTGTGCAACCAGCCCCATGGGAGGAGCGGCCCTCACTGGTTCCCCGGCACCTGCCCGCCCGCCTGGGAGCCCGGCTTTGCTGGGGTTCTCGGCAGCCGCAGGCGCCTGTTGTTCCGTCTCCTACAAACCTGCTGGGGCCCTGAGTTCACCCTCTCCCACACTTACAGCCCAGTCCAGCCTCCTCCTCTCCCTCTGGTCTGCAGTCACAGTGCCCGGCTCTACCTTTGCTGGCAGGAAGCACCTGGCCCGGTCTGGGGAGGCCCGGCCTCCAGGGAAGCCTAGCTGGTCATTCTCATGGCCACGTGGCCCCCACTGGTGGCCCCACTGCGGGTGGGGCAAGGCCGGGATCTGAAGGGCTGTGCCAGGCTGGGGCGGGGCGGCCAGTGCCTCATGTCCCCAGTGGCCCACCTGGGCCCCAGGCTGCAGGCCTGTCTCCTTCTGTCCCCTCCCACGGCTGACACTCTATCCTCCTGTCTGTTTGCTGGGTGGCAGCTGGCTTCCAGGAACCTGCTGACCGCCTGGCGCCCTCACCTGCCTGTGCCAGACGGCCAGGCAGTTGCCACCCGGCGGGGACAGGTGGGAGAGGTCTGCGGCAGGCCAAGGAGGGCCGGGCTGCAGGAGGAGGAGTGGAGAGCTAATGGTACAGGGTTTCTCTTGGGGGGTGATGGGGTCCCGAAATGAGGTAGAGGCGGCAGCACACAGCACTGCGATGGACCTACTGCCACCGAATTGTTCACTTAAACCTGGGTAAACTGATGTTATGTGAACGTCATCTGAATTGAAAAAATAAATCCGTGCCCCAAGAGGTGTGTTGAGAACATTCAAGTTTTCTGGACCGGGCGCGGTGCCTCATGCCTGTCATCTCAACACTTTGGCAGGCCAAGGTGGGCGGATCACTTGAGGTCAGGAGTTCGAGACCAGCCTGGCCAACATGGTGAAACCCCGTCTCTACTGAATATACAAAAATTAGCCAGGTGTGGTGGCGCACACCTGTAATTCCAGCTACTCAAGAGTCTGAGGCAGGAGATTCGCTTGAACTCAGGAGGCGGAGGCTGCAGTGAGCTGAGATCACACCACTGCACTCCAGCCTGGGGACAGAGGGAGACTCTGTCTCAAAAAAAAAAAAAAAAGGAAATATTTCTAGTCTTTGTGTGTCAAGGCAGGACTCGAGGAGTGACAGCACAGTCCCCGGACCCTTCGGAGTCTGGCAAGGGGTTGGGGGCCCTGAGGGTCCCTGTCACCCCCATGCAGAGGCCCCTGTGGAAAAAACTCACCCACCCCAGCTCCTGGGAGAGGGACGTGGGCCCTCAGTCCTACCTCTTGTCCTGTTCTGGTTACACTTGGGCTCATGCCACCAGGGCCACCATTATCAAGTCCTGCTCCGTGCCCGCAACAGATCCACACACTTCTTGTCCTTCGTCTCCTGCCCTCCCACAGCCCTCGGCAACAGGGCTCAAGGGGTCAAGCCTGGAATGACTGGAGTCACTGTTCTCCTTCTATTTTTAATTTATTTCTTTTTTGAGACGGAGTCTCACTCTGTCGCCAGGCGGGAGTGCAGTGGCTTGATCTCCGCTCACCGCAACCTCCGCCTCCCGGGTTCAAGTGATTCTCCTGCCTCAGCTTCCCGAGTAGCTGGGATTACAGGCGCCCGCCACCATACCTCACTAATTTTTGTATTTTTAGTAGAGATGGGGTTTTGCCATGTTGGCCAGGCTGGTCTTGAACTCCTGACCTCAGGTGACCTGCCCACCTCAGCCTCCCACAGTGCTGGGATTTCAGGCATGAACCACCATGTCCGGCCTGTTCCCCTTTTAGAGATGGGAACGAGGGGCGCATCCACGGGTCCATCATCCTTGAGGGGTCCGTGCGGGGCCCAGGCTGAGGCCCATCCGTCCCTGGAACACCCTGCCTGCTCTCCCCGACCTCTCCACCGACGCTGTCCCTCCAGGGAGCCTTTCAGGTGGGGAACAAGCTCAGGAAGTCGTGCCCAGCTCTCAGGCCCGCCTTGCCTGACCTCCCCATCAGTGCCCGCCTGGGCCCAGGCCCAGAGCCACAGCGTGCACACCCTGGCTGGGCCCTCCCAGAGCCCGCCTGCTCCCCAGGCCGGGACCTTCTGAACCAACCAACCCTGCTGTCCTGCAGCCTCAGGTGTCACCCCTGGAGAGACCATCCCCGCTGTCCCATCACTGTCCTCAGTGCGTGTGCGACTTCCCGTCCACCTGTCTTGTGTTTGCTGCCGGTCCTCCCTCTGCGGGAGCTCCAGAGCCTAGAGCCATGCCCTGTCCATGCTCGGGGCACGGGGGTTGCAGTGGGGGGCTGTCCTGCTGAGGCAGTGGCCCTGTGGGCTACGGTCTCCCCTTGGCCAGGCAGGGGTGCTGGAAGGCGGTCCCCAACTTCCGTCCAGCTGCGTTCCCACTGCAGCCACAGGTACAACTTCCCCTCCCTCTCTCCCCCTGGCCCCCGCCCGCCACCCTGCCCTGCAGAGCCCCAGGTGGACGGCTCAGCGCGTGCGGATGTCGCCCTCTGGCTGTAAGTGTAGGGATCACCGTCACAGACAACTATGAAGTCAGGATGGCTGGGGGCTTTGAAGGGTGAAGACTGGTGCCCGGGCGTGCACAGAGCTGGAGGGACCGGGAAGTACTTTATTCACTCACTCATGCTACAGGCGGGGAAACTGAGGCCCCAGCCCCTGCTTGATTTGCTTCCAGCCCCAGGCCCCTCCCCAGGCTGATGGTGAGAATGGCTGTGCAGACAGCAGGAAGCACTGTGGTTAGACGTCAGCAGGACCTTTCCGGCTGGAGCCACCAGAGCCAGGCTTCTGGGAGGGCTCTGGCTTTGGGGGGGCTCAGGGCTTGGGCCCGGGACACAGATCGAGGGACCTCCAAAGCTCTGCCTTCCGCCAGAGGCAGATCCTCTGTGGGAAAAGGTGGGGTTTTCTCACAGGGCCAGCTGGGCACTGGGCAGGGAGAACTCCGGATCTCCTCGGCCCACAGCTGTGCCGGCGGGGAGTGTGGGTGCAGGGTCTTTGGTGTCAGCCTGAGCTGGTTCATGGTTCCTGAGGGTCCCTGACCCTTAGAAGCCCCTTCAGTCGAGGCTGCCCCCTGCCCTGATGATGGGGGGCAGGTCCAGCGTGGTTTCCTCGTTGTTCTCACAGCCGCCCTACCCTGGCATGTCCTTGTTTAGCTGCTGCCTCTAGGAAGGCGTCCCGAGAGCCCGGGCTCTGGCCCCGAAGCCAGGTGCTCTTGCACATGCGAGGAAATGACTTTGCCTTGTCAGGCAGCCTTGGCTGCATCCCTTCTCCCCAGCACCCGGCCTCGCAGGCCTTTTATAAAGCTGAAGCTCTGAAAAGAGAGGAGGCCTCTGCCATCTCCACCGACCCTTCCTTCTCCAGCTTTCTGACCACGTCACTCAGAGACGTCCTCGGCCCTTGGCCCTTTGTCTGGCCTATGGCCTTGGCCAACTTGGCAGGCACCTTTGCCTCTCTGGGCCTCTGTTTTCTCATCTGTAAAGTGGGTTTACTGATCAAATCCTGGCCAAAGCAGGATTTGATCAGCGCTGGCCTGCCTGCCCATCTTCCGGGCCACACTCCCCACCTGGCCTGCCTGTCCCCGCCCCTGCTGTCACTACCCTGGTCCTGGCCCTGGCCCCACCTTTGCTGGCCCCACCCCGGCTCTGTCTCCATCACCTCCCGTTGTCTTCTGGGCCACGCTCCCCACCTGGCTGGCCTCTGTCCCCGTCCCTGCTGTCCCCACCCCGGCTCTGTCGCCATCACCTCTGCCTCTCTTGTCCCCACATCCAGGCAGACCCAGGCACTACCAGGGTTTCTACCAAATCCCTGCCTGAGGTGCCCGATCATTCAGCAAAGCGAACACTCAGGGTTCCTGGGTGTGAACTGCAGCCCCGCCGTTCCCCCGTGTGCACCCCTCAGCCTCCATGTCCCCACCTGGAAAATGGGAGCAGCAATGCCCGCCCTGTGAGGCTGCCGAGTGCACACAGTGAGACCCACAATGCGGGCACACCGTGCTGAACTGTGTGGCTTCCCTCTCTCCCCTACCCAGTGACCACCTGCCTGGACATGTGAGTCCTCCCATTCCTGAGCCCCTGGGATGGGTCCTGCCCTCACCCCCCTGGCTCTCAGCAGGTTCTGGCCCTGCCAGTGTCTATGGGTGGCTCCTGGGTCTCCCCAGCAGGTTCCAAGGCTCTCTGAGCCCTGCACTGCAGCCCCCACCTCCCTCCTCTGCCCCCGCCCAGGCCTGGCCCATTCTGAGCACACTGAGGGACAGCCTGGGTGAGAAAGGGTCCCACGGAGCAGCCAGTCCCCTTCCTCCTCCCCAGGGAGGACACCGGCCCCAAGTCCCACAGGGAGTTTGTGGGGGGCCTGGCTGGAGCCTCTCTGTACCCCACGAATGCTGGTGGATTGGTTGGTTCTGACCCCCTTCTACTCCCTGTGGTTCTGAAATGCCACTAAAGTAATTCCTTGAAGAGAGTCACACAGCCCCGAAGGGGGACAAGTGGGGATGGGACCCCGAATCTGAGGCCTGGCGTCTCCCTTACCCCCACCCGTCTCCATCAGGGCCAGCCCTCCTGTGAGGGGCCTGCCTCGTGGGTATCCGGAGCCAGCACAGAGGCTGGACCACCATTCCCAAGCCTCGTGGCAGCCCCCCAGGCAGGGACTTGCCGCAGCCCCCAGCAGGTAGAGGGCAGAGCCAGACCATGGCTTGCAGTCCCATGTGCCCCCCGGCCAAGGCCTTGACCCTTGGCCTGCAGCTGATATGTGCCTGGGTCTGGAGATGAAGGGTCAGTTCTGGCCAAGGCCTTCACATCCCCGAAGCAGAACCCACACTCCCGTCCCACGGCCAGGCGGGCAGACCCCATGGCACTGCCCGGAGAACATGGTTCCCCAAGAGGAAGCGGGTCTTGGCTGAGGGCCCCTCACTCCTCCCGCCCTGGTCGGCCACCGCTGGCTTTAATGAAGGGGGGACGCCCCGAGGGGAGGTGCCCTGTGGAGAGGTGCCCTGCGGGGAGGTGCAGACCCCCTTCCACTCCCTGTGGGGGTTGCGGGGCCTTTGTGGAGAGCGGGCGGGGCTCCTGCTGCTGACTTTGTTCGGGTTTGAACACAGGTCCCTGTGGTGGTGCAGGGCCTGGGACCGCCCCCCCTACTTTGCCTTGCCCTGGGGTCTGGGGAGCGCTGGTCTGCACATGGTCCTCCCAGTCTCCAGCACAGGACCTCATGCCAGCGTGCGGCCCGTGTCTCGCCGGGGAGGCTCGTGGTGCAGGAAAGAGGGCGAGAAGAGCCGGATGCGCCAGCTCGGGCGCCGTGGACCGAGGGTGCAGGTCTGGGGACGTCAGGAGCAGGGCCTGGTCCCCAGGGAGGGGCAGTCGGGAGGTTGACCACTCTGCCACCTGCCCACGGGGCTCTCTGGCTTTTGGAGGCCTCACCTGGCACTGGTGTCATGGCCTCTGCGCCCAGTCACAGGAGGCGGCAGGGCCGGCT